TGGGCCTGGCTCAGAAGGTAGGTGGCTGGTGGACACCATCCCCAAAACCCAGAAGAGCACCTCCTGTGGCGTTTGGTCCCATCCAGGCATTCCACTGGGAGCAGGAAGAAACAGACTTTGCAGAGTGGGATGGGAAACCCCACACTTAGAGTGTAAGGAGGGAAAATAAAAAAGGAGCCTGTGAAGGGTGGGCTTTGGGTGGGAGTGGTAAAACACATCAGGGAACTTTCTTGTCCTTGTTATTCGAAAAGGTACTTTTATGCTGACCGAGCTCCTAGGTTGGGGTCTGAGGTCCTCCGGGGCTTGGCGGGGCTCCTAGGTTGGGGTCTGAGGTCCTCCGGGGCTTGGGAGAGGCCGTGGAAGGAACTGCAGGGGCCTGACCGCCTATGCTCCATCCTCCTTACCCTGCAGTGGGGACGCCGAGCTCTTAACACTTCCCATGCCAAGCCCTGTGCTAAGGGCTCTCCTCGTCCTGACTCATCTAAGAAAACTTCCCTGAAGTTTTGAGAGGTGGTAGTTGTCACGCCCATTTTAGAGGTAAAGAGTCGGAGGCCGGGAGAGACGGGCACTCTGGCTTGGATGCACCCTTGGTTACCGGACCCACGTTTGAGAAGGGAAACGTGTTTTTATAATGGAAAGGTGCTTCCTGAGCTGCGTCGGTGGCTCCACTCCTGCGAGCCCCATCTGTGGTTCTGGTGAAGGACCCTGGGGGGTTGCGTTGGGTCCTGGATCCGGGCCTGGTCACGGTCCTTTTGGAATGAACGGACCCTTCATTGACCTCTTAGGGCGGAGCCCGCGCCTCTGTTTACCCACTGTGACGGTCTTTTATTTTGTGAGGCACCCCTCACACAGAGGTTCACACCGTCAAGTTAGACTCGGGTCTCAAAGGCCAGGACGTTTTTGTTTTTCAAAATGTGAGCCTTTTGGCTTTGGTTTCCTTACATGTGAGCCTTTTCTGGCTCCATCTGCTACTCTGACTGCACAGGTTGTGTATAAGGTACAAACTTAAATCTAAGAATCCTGGTTTTTCCTTTCATTTCATCTTTTATCACATACCCAGAGGGTTTTTAATCCTTTTGTGGCTTCGGTGGCTCGTGAGGCAGTCCTCTGAGAGAATCGTTTTTAGTGGCTCATGGGTCATTTCCTCTTTGTAATGGATTACCAACCAGCCCCTGTTCTGTAGTCATGATGTTGGTGATTTTCCCCTAAGTGCGGCCTGACACTGGCCCTGGGGGGCCCTCAGGGTCTTGCACTTTATCTCTGTTAACCTGTTGCTTCACTGCCCGGGGAGCTCAGTGTCGCTACACGTGTTGGACATGTCCCCGGGGCGCTGCTGAAATGGTGCAGGTCAGAGCCATCCTCTGGGTGACTGGCTCTAGCTTCCTCAGCAGAGAAGTGTCTGAAATGCTTGGAAAGCACGATGATTTTGAGCTGCCTTCAGCCGGGTCGGCAAATGGCGTGAGGGCCAAATCTGCCTGTTCTCGTAACGTTTTACTGGAGGTGCCCATCTGCTGAGGGATTGTACTCGGCTGCAGGTGGAGTTGCCTCGTTGCCCCCGAGGCCTGCAAAGCCTAAGAAGACTGGCCCTTTACAGAAACACCTTCCGGAACCCTGGTCCGCTGCTTCACATTCGGAAAACCCCCTCCACATCGATCAGTCCCAGAGTGGGATTCCCAGGGAGAGTCCGAGCTTGACACCGAGCCTCCTGGGCCGCTCTCGCCCCCGCGGCCCTGACTCTGCGGTGCTGCCCAAGCTGCCCGAGCGGAGCGGTTCTGCCGGAGCAGCTCCATAGCTGGTCTTCTCTCTCTCTCCCTCCCTCTCCCTCTCCTCCCCCTCCCTCCCCTCCCTCTCTCCCTCCCCTCCCTCCCCTCCCTCTCTCCCTCCCCTCCCCCTTC